TGGCATATGGCAAAAGTGGCAGTCGCCAAAGTGATGTGTTGTAAAACAACAAAAATAAAATAAATACAAATGCAAATAAATAAATGCAGGCATACATATATACAATTACACACATACATACATACATATGTACATGTGCAGTTAAGTTGTGGTAAATGTCAACGTCTCAATGGCATTCCAGCATAAAAATAGATTTGGCTATTTTGGAATTTCAAAAACAAATTTACTTCTCCCTTCCTCTGTCTGCCTCTCCTCTCTCTCACTCTCTCTCTCTCTTTCCCTCTCTCTCTCTCACTCCACACAACTGCATTAAGTGTTGTTAATCCACTAACTTTCGCAAGTGCAGAGTTGTATTTGGTTCTATCGAGTGGCTATACTTGCATAAGAATGCTTAAGTCTTTCAAGTGGATGCCTCGATTGCGTTTTCTATAGCAAAGTTATGTGGTTTTTATTTGACAAAATAAGTACAAAAATAGATATGCATACACAAGTTAATACATACATACATATATTTTATTTACATATGTACTTACAAGTATATGCATACATGTATATACATATGTGTTTATGTTTACTTGCAATCGAGTTGTGAGCACAGAGTCTAAAAATACCCATCGCTAAGTAAATATATCGAAGAAAGTAAATTTGCCCATTAGGGTGTGATATTTTTGTGGCTATTTTATTGAAAAAGCAAATAAAAAAAATTAAGGCAATGTAAACAGACAGCCGTCAAAGCTGGATTAGGTTAGGTTGAAATTGTTGATCTATTGGGTAGTCTTGCAGCCACACGACACGCAACCAAGCTGGACTGCTACACCCTAATTGAGCATCTAGTGTAGTGAACATTGTTGTCTTAAGCGATTGCTGATCCTATAGCCTTTTCTGGGTCATGGAAGCAAAGTTTTTGTCTGTCACAGATTACGTGCTCCACTGCCCTCACCCATATCTTATATTTTCTGCACTCGTTGTCCCCAGTCAGTTTTACATTGCAAGACAATGCGCCGTTAATAGTTCTAAGAGCAGCCTGCAGTCCGGTCTCTATACAGATAGTACAAACTTTGTGAGTTATGATAACTAAGAAGAATTTATTTATACTTAGAGTCGTGGTCAGATATAGAGCAGCTGGTGGTAAATGGAATTAAGTACAAAAATCCTGCAAAGAAGTCATAAACAATATAGAGATGCTAGCTTCATATTCTTCTTGTGCAATTTACAACTCTGCCCAGGGGAAGTGGTACGATGCAACCTTTGATGGCCTCCGCTGCACTGAGAAATATTATCTGACTCTACCGAATGAAGGAAGCCATCACGTCGGCGTTCAATCCGCAAATTCCGACAATAACCCCTTTCGCGCTATTCCTCTAAAGAAAGCATGAAAAATAGACTGGAAAGCCTTGAAAAATAACCAGATTAGCTTCTTGTCGTAGCCTGATCGCTCTCATTAACTCAAGGAACATCGAGAGGCTAGTTGACTGATTTGCTTGGCTTAAGGTCTTGACCGCAAGCGACCGCATCTAAACCATTGAACAGACTCATTGTGGTCCTCGTGCATCCAAGCGACCGCAGCTAAGCCATTGAACAGACTCATTGCGGTCCCCGTGCATTAACTAGCCGATTACATAAGGACATTATATATTCTCTTCTTCCTATTATACGTGCCCACATCCGCGAGGTTGGAACTGAGAGCATCGTGATGATGTAACGTCTCTATCGGCTGAAGGCTGGACTCGCCAACGTTTCCTCGTCTTCTGTGCATGCTGTGCACAGCACCGATTTCAGTTTACCTAGTTTATGGAGATGATATCTCTGAGATAGATGGCGCATTAAGTCACCTATAAGAAAGCTAAGTAAGAATTTGGACTGTATACTATCCACACGCTGAAGAGTTCTAATATATTAACTGTTCTTCTATGGTCCAGCTGTTGTTTAAAGCACACATATTTGAAGACGCTGAAACATCTGAGGCAGTCGATAGAGACTACGTCGTCCGCCTTTTCATTGCCGGCTGGAACCGAGGTGCTTTCCTACGATATTCTGTCAATTGCTTTTTTGCATGCTGACTCCTTTACTTCCGCTTGTTCGATCGACCTAACTCAAGCCTGTCCTATATACATAAGCGACGAGAACAACGGCAACCGCACTGGTGCCCAAGAGATTTTGCCTCTGTGAATCGTGCAGGAGACTGTTCAATAAAGAAAATGGGTGATGAACCCCAATACACTACATACAAAGGCGGATCTGCTCCAAGGGAGGCAAAAAGATGTTCTTGGAGGGATTTCAATGAGGTTGATAATGCAAAAGGGGCAGCTTTGGTAAAATTTATCCTCTGCTGGTGGGTCAACCATAGAGTTTCTTCTAAGGCAAAAAGTTTCGTAGACTATGTGAAATGACGAAACCATAGAACTTTTATTAGATACTCTTATTTCGGGAAACTCTCATATACATACATACTTATTTGGCGGGACCAAAATCTTAGATATGACGTCTCAATCAATAAGCTGTGCAGTCAGAACCTTCAGCCCTTTTTGGGTTCTTTTTGCGCAGTATAAAAAAAAGACACCTTTCAACTATGTTCCATTAAGTACCGGTTATATTCGTTCCCAAGGCCGAAAGGTTACTCTTAGTTTCCGAACGGTTCTTACATCTAAGTCACTAGAGACGATTATGAGTAATTACTCTCATGAAAGTTCGACAAGCAGCTGCTGTCCGATAGCCAATTTCAAATTAACGAGAACTACTCGGTAAAAACTGGTTTCATTCATTGAGCCCCCACCTAATAAAGATTTTGTCTCTTAGCTTACTTGGGTACAGAAGAAGCTTTGGAAAACTTACTATCAGATACCATAAGTTCTACACTAAAAAACTTAGGTGTGAACATCTCACCGGTGGGCCTTCTTTGTTCGATGATAAGATTCATAGCACAGCGTTGTCATGATTCAATGTGACACTTAGAATCGGTCTAAATTTAGCTTTAAACGTGATTCTTGATATCCTGCCTATAAGTACCATAGATGGTTTCACTTTTCTTCGTTTAGCAGAACAGAAACAGTGAAGCTGTGGACCTGAGGCTTGTAAAAACCGTTATAAGCACTCTTATAGAATAATTCTTCTTTATATTCTTCATGGACATGAGCACGCCATTCCGGTATGCTCTTTGCCATGTGATCCTTCTAACGAAGGGAGGTCTGCTCTTTCCTCTGCTGCTGTCGTAGCCATTGCGTAAAACTTTGCGCTCGAAGTTTCCCAGGGCCATCTCATCGACAACGCACACGCCTCTTCACCATATAACAGGATGGGAATGATGAGAGGACTAGTCAAGTTTGGTTTTTGTGCGCCAAAGAGGGTCCAAAGTCCGAAAGTAGCAACTTTTCGCATGAGTATGGAGTACATTTGTATACGTTCACACATTAGAGGCAAGTTTTTGATTGCCATTCACCTGCAAGTGGCCAGAAATGATTCTTTACCAATGGTTTAAGCAGCTCACGACTTCTGATCTCAGAACAAGTATTATCTGGGTAGCCAACAAACATTCGTTTGAGGGCGAGCTAAAGTGAGAAGTGGAATGCCTTTGCGGTTGTGCTAATACCATGAGTAAATTAAGATTAGCTAAGGGGATAGGACGAGTCGGTGCAATATTTAATTTCTTTTTTGTAATGCATCTCAATATCTATGCGTGATTTTTGCAAAATTTAAACCATTATTTGCCATTATTATTCTTTTTTGTATTTTTCATGCAAGTAAAGGGGTTTCCAATAGGTCTTATTTTGATATATTAAAAAATGGCATTTTTGGATATAAATGATCAGATTTTTATTGGAATCTAAAGAGGAAAATATGGCACTAAGGATGGAAAACAATTTCGGCTTACAGGACCGTGCCCTTTTTTATGAAATTTTCCATCACCAAAACACAAAGTGGCTGCTGCATGCTCTCAACAGCTTCACGAATTCCATTTTCGGGGTCTTGAGTGGACATTGGCCTGTCGGTGTAGAGCTCATCTTTCCATCAAAGCAAGTAGTTGCAAGATCTTAAATCACAATTTGTTGGCGTCTCAAAAATTCTTGACAAAAAAAAAACGTGTCACACCCTAATTTTGTATTCAGTTCTTTTGTACGCCAGAGTATCTCTTATGCTTATCTATCCACACTCGATGTGGTGAAGTCAGTGCCAATTATAATCTCGCAGATGTTGAAATAATCGAAATGAATCTGTTTACACATAACCGAAAATTAATTGAAAACCACAACGAACCTGGTAACATGGCTACCGGCAGCGGCTATGACTGTGAATGAGTATATTTAATGAGTTGAGGAGTCAAATAAAAAAATTGCACATATGATACATAGCATACATATATACATATAAATGCACATCAGTCTGTCTGCTCTGCGTATGATCCCCTTTAAATTTGGTCTACGAAAACAATGCAGAAGGGGAGGAAAGAAATTTCGAAAGCAATTTCTGGCACTGCCACCATCTAGAAGAGGAGAAGTTTTTAGACATATTTTTTTTTGGCGCATTATATGAAATGTGGGCGTGTGTATGTATGTATATGTTTGGGGATTTATCAATGGATCTTATACGCTTGGGGTTTTTCCCAACAAACTTCCAAAAAATCAGTTGCGGTGCAACATGTAACATGTTGTGGCACATAATGGCATGTGAGTATGTATTGTACATACATACATATATGTTTAAATACATAATAGTGTGATCGAAATCTGCTCATGTAGTGTTTAATTGATTTCATGTCAAACTATAACATACCGTTAATTATTATTTATGGCGCAATCGAAGAAATGGGCGCGCGTGATTTCTCTGTGTGGCAGGTCGGCATGCAACAGATTTTCGCTTTCATTAAGATAGACATTGCACAAGGAAATGCATTATTTCGTGAATGGCACAATAAAAAAGTTATTAGATTTATATGAAAATATATATATATATATATTTGTGTGTATGCCCTTTTTTAAATAGTAATCTAAATTTTTCTTCTACAGACGCCATGGAAAACCAGTTTGGGTTCGTCATATAAACCGAGCGGCTCGAGTGCGGTAAGTGATTTATAAACACCACTTTTCTGTGCACACATATTTAATCCACCGAAAAAGTACTCCAGCAACTGGACACCAATTGGTGACACTAAGTAAAGCCAAGTCCTTCTCTATCTGACATTTCAAACAATGTGGGGTGTTCCTCTTCTACTGTTTCCGTTGGGTCTACATCGAAAATACTCAAATCTGGATTTTTGTCGCCCATAAGGATGATAGACTGATAATATTATTGTTGTTGTTTCTAGTGCTTTAAAGTTATGTGTATCAACCGTGACATGCGAGGCATTCTGCGAGTGTGTTGACTGTGTTTAACTTAGTATCTCGCTTTGACTCTGAAACTCTTATTAAGAAGAAAGACAATAAAGTAATGAGATTGATTATATTGCCGCAATTGTGGTAACCCTGCGACCTTGAACATCACCTTCCCTTCTCCCGGCATCCTTCTCCTCTCCATTGATTTATTTGCCAACGCTCTAGCTTGTTTAGTTCGCTTGCTGTGTCGTATTGAGTAAATGTGTATTCGTGGTGTTCGGCACGAAAATGGAAAAACGAAGTCAAGAGCAACGCGTCGTGATGAAATTTTGCGCCAAATTGGGGGAAACAGCTTCAGAAACGTACGCCAAAATTGTAGAAGTGCATGGTGATAGTGCTTTTAGTCGTGCCAAGCTCACAATGGTTGTCTCCGCACGCCCTCCACCCGAATAAAGCTCGCATGAGTAAGTCGAAGGTGAAAACGATGGTTATTGCCCCTTTTGATAGCCGTGGAATGGTCCACAAAGAATTTATTCCACCGACGCAAGCCGTAAATCAAGTATTTTATCGTCATGTACTCGAAAGGTTGCGAAAACGAGTCAACAGGTTGCGCCCAGACATCGCTTGTAACTGGATACTTGAACACGACAACGCGCCGTGCCACACCGCCCTTAGCATGTCCCAGTATTTGGCCTCTAAAGGGATCGCTGTGTTGCAAACAACCGCCTTATTTACCCGATATGTCACCCAGTGACTTGTTTTTTGTTCCCTCGAACAAAATCGATTGTCAAAAGAACCCATTTTGAGTCGATTGAGGACATCCAGGCGGCCGTGACGAGGGTACTCGCCAGCGTCCCGGTAGAAGCGTGTATAGTTGCCAAAGGGGACTACTTTAAAGGGGATGGCAGAGTTGTAGAATAATTTTGAAATATACTGTTTTTATGGAATTAGTCTCATTACTTAAATGTCTCACCTCGTATGATCTGTATCAATATCTGACAACGTGTCTGGTATTGCCCAAAAGGTAGCTACTTTTCGTGAAACCTACATAGAGGTGATGTGTGTCAATCTTCACTGGTCTTTTCCAGAATTTGGCGCATGGTGATTACCTGCTAAATAGTGGACTTACTTGGTCTAAAAGCATACCAATAAAGTGGGATCAGTCCATCGATGGTGGGTCTTAATCATTAACACAACATCCCAGATAAGATCACGGTTGAGTAAGTTTGCCCCAGCAGTTTGACAATCCTTTTTCTACCAACTGTTCTTTTGGACTTGACGAAATCCAATTTTTTTCCAGAAGAAGCACGTTGGGGGCTTGAAATGCCGTTCCACTGTCCATTTATGTTAAAATTTTGTTGGCGGTCGACCTTTACAGCGCTGAAGCGGTTGCGTACTTTTGCAGCGATAAGGTAGTGATCTGTCTATCACAACAAAATCAATTTGGTCGTGTGATTTTTGATTCAGTGCAGCTGTTGAATTTACTTATGCCTAAATCTACTAGTAGAGGCAGCCATATATCGGTCCCTGACGGCCCGTCAACCCGTTTGCGAATGTTTGTTAAAAGACACTGACTTATCCGTTGCGCTAAAGATATCTGCTTTCCCCTCCTTGGTGTTGAAAGCCCCAAGTACGTTTTTCACATTGTGACGGAGCCAGCCCTGATAGGTTAATTTTAAGAGCTCATAGAAAGCAACTTTATTGACATCATCCTTCTCTTAGGACGAGGGGTTGATACATATCGAGCGACACTTTGAAAGGTCTTGCTTTAATGCATGATGTTCGTCCACTGAGCGAATAGTCTTTGGATGTTTGCCGTGGTCGTCAGTCAAATTAGAAATATTCATCCGAGGACATTATTTTGATTTCATTAAAGTAATTGGATCTTTATATGCTTTCAAGTGAAGTTCTTCAGCTCATTCATTTGCCTAATTGAAGATCTCCAGACTTCAGAGTGTGGCAGTTTACAAACAAACTCATGGAAATGAAGTTGTCTCGCTTCTAAGAAAGTTAGGATTTGTGACCGATGCGTCACATTCCCTCAAGATATCACAGCTCGATTGAGATGGCCGATATCTCTCTCTCTCTCTCTAAGCCTCCCCTCACCCCACTTATATATCATTTAGAATTCGTGAAAATATTTTACTCATATCACCTTTCTATTTACACTTCTAGTACACCTCACGCGATGACATTGGCAGCTCACGTTACACCTCACTCGCATCACCTAGCACATACCGACCCTCCTTCTCCGGTGGCACTTATCGCGTAAAACGCGATCCGCCCTCGAGCCTGCAGACACCCAGTTACACCAGTCGCTACACGCCAAGCGTATCCAGTCGCACTACACCGGTGCTGGATACTAGCAACGATGTAAGCAGCACAAAATCTAGTCAGCTTAAGCGTTACACATCTACAGCCACCGCCAAATATGGTTCATCGCGTGAACCGAGCCCTGTTGCCCTGGAAATTACAAATCGTATGCGTAGTCGCGAGCCGAGTCCCGTTTCTCGTACGCTGCGAGGCAAATCACGTGATCCCAGCCCAGTGGTGGACACCAGCTGTAAAATAGGTTATGGTGGACTCAACTCGTATCGCATGTCAACGCCGAAACCAACAAGCACGAGCAGTTATAATGGGCGCTACGGTGGTGGGGGAAGTGTTGGGCGAGCCACCTCAGTGGCGCCTACAATGCCGCCCGACAAATCGATTTCTTACCTCACTGCCAGCGATTTCCATGCGCGTTCTGTTAGTCGTGCACGAGAGACGGCGGCACGGAAGTCAAACGAGAAGGAATTGGAAGAAGAGCAGACCGTGGCGCCGAAAGAGGTGGTGGCAGTGAGTGAAAGTGACAGCAGTTGGGCTGATGAAGAGGAGGCGGAAGAAGAGAAAGAAAGCTTCGTCGCAGTATCGGTGGTCAACAGAGCCACCTCGCCAACGCCACCCGGTAGTGCGACTACAGTACAAAGGACAAGACGCATAGATATTGCAAAAACAATTGAAAAGACTATACAACGTTCGACGCGTAAGTGCAAAACATTAGATAAAGAAATACAATCAGATCGGCTGGATGATTCGACGCGATACTCGCGTTACGGTTTGAGCAGTCGCATGCCCTCCTACAGTCCGCACACGGAAAGTCGTTATACATCTTCGAATTTGCGTTATAGCGCTAGTCCGCTGTCTACTACCTCGAAGTCAACTGCCTCGAATGCTTCTAGCTCAGCAAGCGCAGAGCCAAAGAAAGAGGTTGCAACCGCCAGTGTAGGTAAGGGAACACGCTCACCCTCCACAAACGGTAAGTCGAAGCTCTCGCCACCCAAAGTCGTACGTATCAGCTCAAGACAATCTTCTGTGGAGAACCTCGCAAGTAGCACCAGCGCCAACAAACCACCCGCCGCGCCAAAAGCTGAGTCACCTACAAAGAGTAGCTCGAGTAGCGGACATGTACCGACCAAACTACCAAATAAAGATTTTCGCAAATCTGCTTTGAATGTGGGACCAACTGACCGTCCACGCAAGTCACGTACACCTAGTAGCGGTACAGACTCGGACGCTGTACAACAGACACATACCGATCTGGCGAATGGCATCGCACAGCGTAAAGAACGTTCACCGAGTGCCGGCTCGGAGGTGAGCAATGTGTCAGCCACGTCGAGTAAACGCAGCAGTACGACAGGTGAGCATAAGCCGACACGAACACGTTGTCATGCCAAAAAGTCTTCCTCGTCATCGTTGAGTCGTCATAACAGCAATAATAATTTGACAAAAAATGCTAGTGGTGCCCATAAATCTTGCACACCTTCGACGTCCACCACTACCACTTCGAGCTCCTCCTCGACCAGCGTAACTACCGCGTCGTCATCGAGCGGCGCGGAGAGCTCAAGCGAACCGCGAAAAACAAACAAGAAACACGGCAAAAAGAAGACTGCACAGCACACCCACAACAAAGAACACCGCACGACGGACAATAACAGTTCGAGTGTGACCAAGTGTGCGGCGACGTTGGCGACAACTGACACAGGTGATGCTAATGATTCGACGACGACGAAGCGAACGGTCGATGAAAATAGCAAGAGGACCATGGCCGCTCGCCAGCCATCAGCGCGCACAGAGGGAGAGGCTACTGAATCATCGCGTACAAATTCAAAATCGCCACTTGCTGGCACCTCGTCCACCTCGTCTGCCAACCGACTACAAAAGTTGTCGTCTGTTTCGAATTTTTTCGCCGCTCGTCAGTGCGATGCAAATAGCGAACCGATTTTCATTGAAAGCTCTGAGAATTCAGGGGGCGATTCCGAGACGGGTCAGCTAATTATTAGCAGTCTTACGGCAGCAAGCAAATCGAGCACGTCGCGAACGAATAATAACGCGACCACAACGACAACGACTACGACTGATCCTGCGAGCACAGAAGCGGCAACAGTAGCAGCAGATTTAACTGAAGCAGCAGTATCAACGACTACGACATCGAAACGAAACGGTGACAATTCGAGCCTCGACAGTACAGAGGATAATACAACTGCGAGGAGGAGTCCACGTAGTCTAGCGAAATATAGCAACGAAAGTGTTGAACGTAGTAGAAGTACGACCACAAAGTCCAGTAGTACACACTTCCCACACGAAACAACCGTTACAGACACGGCGGCGCTCACGAGTGAACAAATTACCGATTCCTACACAACTACGGCAAACACATCGACGGACGAGCAAGAAGAGTCCAGCTGGTGGCAAGACACAAGCCGACAAATCGACACGGCTTCCGCTTTGGGTTATCACCAAAAAGACGACATGCGTTTTAAGTTGCGACACATCGACTCGGGCGAGACGGCCTGGTGGTTGCGCAACGACGAGGATGACACTTTGGCGGATGATGATTTGCGAACGCTAAATCAGGAGGAGGGGGAGGAGGATGCACAAAGTGAGGCCACCACAGCACCCACACATTCGCTAACAAACAATACAACGAACTCAAAAAGCTGCAGCGATCAACGTAACGCAGCCACGCAATCACAGGCAAAGTACAGCTGGTGGACGAGTGACAATATTGACGAGCAAGAGAAGGCGGAGGGCGCACATAATGAAAATGATCAAAACGAAACGAATTACAGTAACGGGGGCGCGAGTGCACCTTGTTATAAAGTGAATGGTGAGAGCAAACAAATCACGAGGAGCCACTGCACACCGGAGAAACCCTGGTGGGGTGAATCCAATGAGAATAGTAAGGGCGACAGCGGTAGCGGTGGACGTGTGGAGCGATCCAGCAGTGCGTCCAAACAAAATGGTACAATACAGTTGAAGATATGCCGTGTAGAGTCCGGCGAGAAACCGTGGTGGCTGAATGAAGCTGAGAAAGAGCAAAACAACTTGCCGGCAGAAGAGCCTGTCGTTGAGGCGACTATTAAACTGCCAGCGCGGAAGTCACAGACAGTGGAGCGTTCCACAAGCAGCCACAGCAACAGCAACAGCAACAGTAACAGCGGTAATAATGTGACAAGCGACGACAAACGCTGGTGGATGTCCGGTCCAATGAAGAAGCAGTTCACAGTGCGGCGTGTAGAATCTGGCGAAAAGGCATGGTGGCAACAAAATGATGACGAATTGGCGAGCAACAGCCAAACGCAGGGACGGGAGCCGGCCGCGATCCTTACGCGGGATGGCTCCAATGAAAAATTATGGTGGCAGACGAACAGCGAGGAATTGAGCAATGGGAACACAAAATCACCGCGTGCACGCTGTGACTCTAACGAAAAGGCCTGGTGGCTGCAAGACGACGAGGAAAAGAAAGAGACGCCGACACTAGCCAATAAAGTACAAAATAGTGTCAACAATTACTCATCACAGCCACAAATGCCTTACGAAACTGAGTTGGCGGGTGAAGATAGAGTCGATCGTGCCGATAGAGAAGTACAAAATATCAATAGAAGTGGGGCATCCCAACAACAGCAGCAACAGCAGCAACAGCAAACTTTTGGCAGCGAACTAAGTAATTCATTTAATTTCGAATATTCAGAGCGGCCACCACCGCTAGGCCAGTGTGCCAGCCCCGTCGACCTTGAGCAACCAGAAATACCACAGCCACAGCCGCAGCCACAGCCGCAGTCACAGAAACAAACACCGATAATAACAACAACCGCACCAACACCAACGCGCCATCTGAGCCAATGCAAATCCCCTTACGATAACATTCCAATGTCGAAAGTTCAAGTGAATCATCACCAACACTACTATCAGCCACCATATGCTCAGCAGCAGCAGCACTCGGCGAATACACCACAACCACCTTACTATCAACAACAACAACAGCAAGCACAGCAAACAGCTGATTACTATAAACCACACTATAGCAACAACAATAATCTTCACGCTTACCAAACACTTGGTGGTGAAAAGCTTTTTATATCACGTCATCAGAATATCGATGAGCTTTTAGGTGGTTCATGTCGTCCACTAAGCCCGCTCTTTTTGGATGGCAGTCAAAGCTTTGCTGTTACAGTGCCGGCGAATCGTAACCTCTTCATAGAGGAGATCACACCCGATCAAGTGCGTATACACGACAGCACAGCGCAGATGCCGGTAATTCAACGCATGGAGAGGTGAGTATTAATGAAAGAGAATTGTGTGAGTGGAGAATATTGCAAGGAGAAATGGTGTGATTGAAAGTTTTTTGTTTTTTGTTTTTGTTTTTGTTTTGTATTATTATTATTATTATTTTTATATTTTTTTCACTTTCACTTAGGGATGAATGGGATAATTACGGAAAAGCCGGTGCGATGCAAACGCCGGCAGAAACTTATGAGCAGAAAATGGTGAGTTTGAAAATGCTTAAAAGTATTTATTAGTTTCAAAAAGAGATAATACGATTTTAATTTAGAATTTTTTAATCATTTCATTTATTATCACATTTTTTTTTTTTTTTTTTTTTTGAGGAATTAAGTTTCTCACTCGTGAGCTTTAAGGAGCTTTCAACAATTTACTTTGCAATTATTTAAGTGGGATAAAAATGAAATTTTCCTATTTAAAAGTATAAATACGTACCTTTCTTAAGTAAAAATATGTGTTTAAAGTGTATATTAATCCAAACTAATGCGGTCGATGGGTAATGGGTTCAAAGACTGTTCTAGCCAACATCAAAAACTAATAGATAACTAATTGACGAAATAAATTTTTCTTAATTGCGCTCGCCCCGCTGCATGGAATATCAAAACCTCCGACTGTATATCTCACTAGCGGTTATAAAATACCAAAAATTATTATTATTAAGGGGCAAATGTTAAATTAAACCTTTCATTTTCAGAAGATCTAATAGGTCGCCTTTACTACTTCAGATGCTAGATAAACATATCAATTCTTTGTTATTTTTTGTTGGAAAATAATACTAGGATCTTTGAAAAAATCATCGTTAATACACAGGAAACTATTTCCACAGCAAAAGTTCATCTTCAAGCTTTCACTTTACAAGTACTTACATAGCTTCCACTTGGCTGGTCAAAAATGGCGCTTAGCTAAATAAACTTTTCCTGAAGCTCTAATACACTCTCCGAAAAAGCCCAGCTAAAAAATATTGAGTAATCATCGGAGCCAACCGAAAGCTCTGGCATCTTTCATCTTCGTACCCTAATTGTCTTATAGTTCAACAGTTTGTCTCATTAATGAACGGAAGGGTAATTATGCACAGAGGAAAAATTATCTTGTTCGTTATAATTATTCATTTAATACCATCTTACCTCGTTACCTATATTTATATTAAAAGAATTGTGACTCTTCCTAGAGTTATCGGTTCAAACAACATATCGGAACGTTTGAACGAGCCCTTGGGTGGAGTGATACTAAAGTAATCGAGTTTCCTTGGACACACTGCCAATTTAGCCTGAGCAGTAAGACATAATCATGAATAAAGTCAGTAAAAGCTTGATCGAAAGCTATAAGCGCTTCCCTCTAACCTTTGCATTTGGATTAAGTGTGCTCTATGTTATGTAGTAGAGATATGTACCCGAATTGGGTGACTCAGTTCTACTATATCCTTTGTACTCTTAGAAGTGAAGAAAATTGGTTCCCCTTTTGCCAGCTATCGCACTTTCTAACAACACTCCCGGTCGCCCTGGGCTATCGCGAACTCCCCAAAGCCATATCTTTTCTGGAAAGCACATCATATCACTTGAATCCCTAAACATACGGATGGAGAAGGCAATGGAAAGCTTACGTTCTGGGGAAACAATTCGACTGTCTCAGCCTGTTACATAAAACAGAAAATCGTAAAGGAACACATAAGTCTCTAGAGCCCTTCCACTAAATTACTTTGCGCCTGTTGGGCATACATATGTACATTGCGCGCAGACCAAAGGAAGAGAGCAAGATAATGGAGCACTAGCTATACCAATATCCAGCATTCGGTCATTTGAGACATAACATCCATCAAGGTGCTTCCAGCAATGGAAAATGTATTTATGCATTCGACCTAATTGTGGTGCCCAATAGGAAAATTCAATAACTTAGGTGCCGCTGACCGTAAACCCCGAGAACGGCAGAGATAATGATAACAATTTTTTTGTCACACCCGTTCTGTGAACATGGATTTATATCAAATCCACCCAAGTTTTCCACTTAATATTTCCAATTGAATGTTGGCTTCCGCCTCACTCATTTTCAAACCATCTTGTTGACTTGGACTTAAGCAGCGGCTCGTAGAGACCCTTCTCAACTCAGTTGCAGATTTGGGTGTTGTTCGGTCGGCATAATGTTACAGTCCATACGGAACACTATCGAGCTATGGTTAATGACTTTACCATGCCTGAGTTGGAGGGCGTTCTGTGGACGATCTTTGGTTCCAAAAACACAACTCTACATGCCGTATTGTCAATGAAATTAATACATTTATGGATGACAACTTTTGGTTAGTGCATAACTTCGTGTCTTGGGCCTGTGGCGTGGCCTACAAGATCATCCGATTTAACACTGATGGAGTTTATTTTGTAGGGATATGTGAAGTTGCTTTTCTACGCAGATAAGTCCGAGACCATTGTCGTCTTAGTGGAGAATATTCCGTACGCCGTTGCTGACATCCGACCCCAATTGGGACAGAAAACGGTTGGAAATTGGGCTACAGAGCTGGATCTAGCTCGAGCCAGTGAAGGCTTGATAATAACTAAATTAAAGAGTTTCCTCAGCCATGCGATCCTCTCGTCCCCTCTTCTGCGACAGAAAAATTGACCTCATTTATTGTTGTTGATGCTATAAATAAATATTAAGTATGAAAAAAAAATTGTAAATAAATATTGAGAGAGAGAGAGAGAGAGGCACAAAACAGGTGGCCATTATTTGTGCTTTTATAAGATTAAGAAAAATCACGCTCCGCTAAGCAGAAAGAGAAAATTTTGAGCATGAGCCAAATTGTCGCCAAAAATTAAAAGCATAAATAAATCTGCCAAAATATGACAACACAATTAAATGCCTAACAAAGGCTAAATTCAAGCAATTATTTGCAATAAGCATACACATACATACAAACATACATAGTACATGGACATACATGCATGCATACGAGTACAATGTAAGCCTGTGAGGAGCGAAAAATCACTTAAAATAAATTAATTGACCTGAACGCGCCAATTCGAGGTTTGTCAACAGGAAAAAAATAAATAAAATTTAATTAAATAAAAAAATAAAATTAAATTAAAAATACAAAAAGCCAAAATAAACCATCAAAAGAAATTTTGCACAAATTTAGAAGGAATGAGCCACAAAAACAGTGCGAGAGAAAAAAAATTGGCAAAGGTCAAAGTGCGACGCTTGCACTTCGGCGACTTGCTAAATACTCATTATAGGCATGACTGCTGTGAGATATATTTACATAATAGGTATGTATGTATTGTATGTACGGGTAAGCGCATGATTCATTCACTCATAGCATTGCTGGGGATTTCTGAGATTTCTTGTAGCTACGACGGCCTCACTTTCAGCAGCGCGTAGTTTTTCGCAAACTTTTTCGACAGTTGACTGATTCAATTACGCAGTGAATTAATGTGAATTGTAGTGTAATAGAGAGATGGCGAGAGAGGGTAGAGCAAAGAGATGCATACATACATCTCTGTTTGCTTCTTGGTTTCCACGAATATATTTTTATGACAAATTGTGAATTTTATTTGTTCAACAATCAAGTTTGACACTTAACTTCTCTATTTTATTACCATATTATCACATTTGTTAATAATATTTTTAGTCACACTGTATACGTATATACATATATATACACGTATCTATATTAATGTATAATCATAAGGGCATTAAAAATTTTATGCATAAAAAATAATTTTTAAAGTTGAATGTACTCACAGTTCGCTTTTTATGTTCTTTGATTAAATTTTAGTCAAGGAAATATATGTTTAATCTGCTTTAGCAAATATAAATGAATTTTACATATTTTTATATGTATTTATTGGTAATAGTGACACCATCGACGCTGTCGGCATTTCGTCTTTAATGTTTTGTAAGACAAAAGAGACAGAAATCTTATTTATTATATGTATTGGGTATGTACATATGCATATACCTACATATATATTTGCATATTTTTAAATGTATTTTGATTTTCTTTATGCAATATTCTGGAATGCCATAAAGAATATTTACATAAAATAATTAATATTTAATTTACGAAAATCACTTTTTGAAATTATATGTTATAGTCGTTTGTATGTACATATGTAAAGGGATATTTTTTTTTAGATATGCAGTTTTCAGGAACAAATAAAATGCATATAACATGTTGCCAAGAATTAAGCTTTGTTATATCGAGCAAGTGACCATCACGGCTGGGTCAAACCTATTTCAGACGATCGGCCCAGTTTTCGGCCGATTTTCGAAACAATAACGCGCCGAATATTCTCTTCGAAGGCGTTAAACGTCTCAACAACTTCAGAAAGTCCCATAAAATTATCCACCAATTATCACCAAAATGTTTATTCCGTAAATTGAATTTTTCACTCACGGTATGGCGTGCAGTGCCATCCTGTTGGAACCAAATGTCGTCCACAGCAGCACTCTCTACGAAAAATATGTTAAATATGGCTCTATAGCATTCCCCATTGACTGTAATATTAAGACCGACTTCATGTTTGAAGAGTTTGTATGTACATATGATTCCCGCTACGCATTGCGCACACCAAATGATGATGTTTTGATGATGTAAGGTCGTAAGGTCGTTTCAACAATGACTTGTAGATTATCAACACTTCAAAAGCGCCAGTTTGGTTCAATAATGGGTAAAGCGGAATCGGTGGCCATCTCGTTTTGAGCTTACTCACTGAACGTGCGTCTTGTTGGATGGTCCCTTAGCTTCGATTCGTGCCGAAAAGACAAAATCTTCCAACAAAATCTTCCATAAGTTGGGTATACAGTCTGTTCATTAGCAAATGGCAAGCCAAACTGTATATAAATCAAGCTTCAGTTGTCGAAAAGAATGACTCCGATAAAAACGTTGCCTCCCCGCACTGCTAAAAACATCTTTTCTGGCTATTTTTTCCATTCTTTTTTTGAAGTTATTCGAATTAAACAATAGTTTTATAAGTGTAGGGCTATGATTTCTCAACTTAGTTTCCTTATTAAAATTTTTCTCTACGTAAAGTAAGCATTCTTCTGAAGACTCTCCCAGTGAACGTTACTTTTACTGAGAAACTCTTCATTTGAGTAGAATATCTTTCCATTCAGAGACTTATGTATACTTATATATATATAATTGGTGCTTTGTAACCGCTGAAGTGATATTCGAAAGAACTCATCCTCTAGTTTGTGGTTTTGCGTCTTGATGTTT